CGGACAGATTGAGCAGAGGTTTCAGGGAGGAAGAAATAAATATGTTTCTCTCCGCTCTACTGGGATGACCAAAAGAGTTATGAGCTGGGAATGTCATTCAGGAATGTCATTCAGGAATGTCATCTCTTCCATGAACTCATCACCCTTGGGCGCCCTTGGCCCTACGTTTCCTTTGCCCCATCCAGATTGTAATCCGAAGACAATAAGGCCTTTCAGGGTTCAGTTAACAGGATATATGGATCTTCTGCTTCTCTACCAAAGCAATTAAACATCTTCGAAGTTCAGAACTGGGGTCCCCTTTTAAACATTAAACAGGAGTCTGGTAGGCTGCAAAGCCACTGCCCTATGCCATCTTAATTTCTAAGAATTCCTTTGATCCCCGTTGCTTTCTTTTCTGTGATTTCGGAGGTGAGTTTGTGGCATTCAATGGAATCGTGTTGTGCTGTGGAACTCAGATCTCACCTGTGGGTTGTCCTCAGATGCTTGGTAGTCATCTTGTGAATCTGACTGAATCCCCCTGTCTTAAACTAATGGCTCCCAGGACAGACACACAGAGACAGAGATATTGGAGAGGAAAATAAACAACATTCATGTCCTGCAGAAACTCTGGGCTGCTCTTCAAATTAATGTCTATGTGGGGATGTACAGGTAGTCCTCAGTTAATGATGGCAGTTAGGACCAGAATTTCCATCACTAAGTGACACGGTCATAAAGTGCAATGTCACGTGACCAGGTTGCTTAGCGCCAGCAGTTCTGGCATTTCCCAGTTGCCATTGTTTAGCAAATCACTGTGGGTCATTAAACAAGGATGTCACATGGTCGCCATTGTGACCTCTTACCAGCTTCCCCACTGACTTTGCTTGTAGGTCATGGAGAACAGCTGCTCAGTAATTGTTAGACACTCAAAAACTGGACAGTATTTCATTCTAAGGCTATGCCTGCTGGAAGGAGGACATGAGGATAAAAAGGAGGACTTCACATAGATGAATGCATGTAGCCTTTGTGCTATTAATGAATAAATAGAAAATTAATCCCAACGTGAATAAATAGACCAAGTTCTTTAGCAGTGACAGCTGTTAATCTTTGCCACAGTTGACTTTCATTGATGAAAGGTTATTGTACTGCCCAGTATTGGTGAGAATATCTTCCCCAGTTTGTATACAGCGGAGCACAGCATAAATTCAACATCCTATGTAATTGTAAATGTGCATTAGGTACCTACAGTTTTGTTGCAAATAATGAATTTGCAGCAAAACTAGTCAAGCTGATCAGCCACATTGTTAATTGTGCTTCGTTAAAGAAGCCGCACTTATTTTCAGATTCTCATGGAAACCTGAAAAAGCAACATGCTTCTTGTATGTGAGGAGTGGGGAGGCCCCATATGTTCAGGACCATCTGCAATGGGGGGCCAAAACAGTAAGCACAAACATGGGTCAAAACGCTGCCACTTCGTATGTGTTCAGTGTTGATGCACATAGAAAGGGCAGGATCTTGGTCTACGGTTGCGCCTGCCATTTTGGTGCCCTTGGTTCCCCACTGAGGATGTCTCTAGGGGTGTTGTGGGGTCTCCATTGACTATAATTTGGCTTCCACATGCAATTCAAAGTGCTGGGTTTGCCCTCTCGAGCCCTCTCTGGCTTGGCACCCAGGGACCTAACAGAACCTACCCATCTGGTTCACACATCCTGGGTGACAATGCTGTAATGGTATGTGGGAATGCCCTTGGGAGACTAGAACTTGAAGAACCACAGACTGGACAACTGTCATGCAAAAGATATCTCAGCCCACAGAGAGGAGGCGTGGGAAGCGTCTCGGAAGGGACCCTCCCTACTTTTCTGGAAAGTAAAAGTAAAGGAGGGGAGGACATCATCTCCTTCTGTGGGTTGACATATCTTCTGCATGACAGTTGTCCAGTCTGTGGCTCTTCAAGGTCTAGTCTCCCAAGGTCATTCCCACATAGCATTACAGTTGCTGAGGGTACCCACCAGCCATGCTAGAGAATTGTAGGGAAGGGAACAACCTTATCCTGGAAATTCACATGATGTTCTCCCTCCCATTTTTTAGGAAGTCAGTAACAACAGAATTGCTTAGGAAAACATTTAATGGTTAACACTGTTGTTGCTTGGGAGACACTTAGTAAGAACTATAGTTATTTCTAATGATGTAGGGCTCTATAATTTTCTTACTGGACTTTGGCTTGTGATGTTATGTTGTCAACTGCCAGGAATCCCTTGGGGGGATGGTAATATAAAGGTAAGTTAATTATCAAATACATTATACATATATAACTTGAAAAATACTGACATTTTAAACATCTGTATTCAGATTTCGAAAATATTTTTATATAAGGTAATTTACTAGAAAAAAATGATAACATAGCCAAAAATTTGAGGATTTGATTAAGTTTTTTTCTTAATTACAGGATTCCTCAAGCTTTTATTAATTTTTCAGCTGTTGCTATTTCCATACTTTTAAACACTGCTGTTTCAAAGAAATTTAATTCACTGGGAGTGATGATGATGATGATATAATTCAAGGTCTTTGCATAATGTGTCCAAGATATGATAATTTGAGTTTGAGTCTGGTCATTTGTGCCTCGAACGATAACTCTGGGTTGATTTGTTCAATGATCCATCGGGTGTGTCTTCTTGGCTGTCCACAGCATTCTCAAGAGTCTTCTCCAGCATCAAATTTCAAAGGAATTAATACTCTTCCTATCCTGCTTCTTCAAAGTCCAACTTTTGCTTCCACGGAGTGTCCCAGGGAATACTGTGGCATATGCTATCCTGATCGTGTGCATCATGGCATCTGAATATCTTTTCCAAGTCCTTCAATGCTATCTACCAAGTGCTAATTTGCAGAGTATTTCTTGACTACTGGTTCCATTACTGCTCATTGATTGGCGCTCACACACGCTCAAATGTGCTTTTTTCCAAACTGATTTGATTCAACAATTGGAATCAGATTTGGGGTGTTTTGCACATTCCCCTAATTATTTCACACTGCCCCCTTTTTATGATAGTTTGTGATTTTAAAAATAGCTAAACAAAACTTTCATACAATTGGCACTTCTAAATATATTTGCTCCAGAAGTACACATTTCTAAATATATTTTATCCTTCAATACACAATTTTATATGCATTCTTTTTTTCAACTGAGAACTCACATCAACATTTGGAGAAGTGTGAAATCTGTGTACTGATGTATCTATCAGCCCAAGACTGATCAATCTGGTGCCCTCGGGATACTTTAAACTAAAGCTCTCATAATCACTGAACATGTCAGCGTGACCTGATAGAAGTTGAAGTCCAAACCATCTGCAAGGTTCTATGCTTGAGAAGGTTGGTACAGAAAATATGGATTGGTTCAATTTATTTTGGAATTCGCAGATAAATAATTCCTCAAAGTTTGGGCAGGGAGACTTTCAGGACTGGAACGATCCTGCCTCATGGTTGCACTTGTTTTAAAGTCAACCAGGATATCAAATGCCTTCATACAGACAATGGCCTGAACAGCACATGCACCTTTGTGATGGAAAAGGTGTTGCATTGTGGCTATTTTCCCTTCACCCCATGATGCAACACCTTTTCTATCACAAAGATGTATGTGATGATTTCTGGAGAGAGACTATGCAGTTAATAGAGAATTTGGGAAAGTTCATATCCATCATGTCCCTTCTAATTGAAACTGAAGACGAAGAAGAATGAATACCTAACTGAATTACTGTAGTTAAACTGTTTTTAAAAGATTTTTATTGCTTATGTGGCATACCCATATGGAAACAGCAGTATTCTGGGCCAAAAAAACTAGGGCTGGGGGTGGGGGGTTGCTAATTTCATAAGAAAAAAAGAATATGATTAAAAAAAAGACTCTTTTCATCAGATGCAAGTACTATCAGGGAAGAATTATAGCTTGCTACAATTAACGGTGACATATTTCACTGCTGTTTGGAAAAAAAATTGAAGGCACGATGAAATCCACTGAGCATTCAATTTAATTACTGCTCTCTCACAGGTTTGCTTAGATTTCTTTTTTAAGGTGAAAATGGGACACATATGCTACATATTGTTTCAAGCAGAATGCTTTTGGAAGGAAAAAAGTGTTGGCTGAGGTTAGGGACATAATCCATCAGGACAGAATACGGATGCTAAAATTGGAATTCAAAGGGAAATTTGGAATTCTGGTCAAATAAAACCAGATCTTGGGGTTTTTCCCTCTCCAGGGGAGCAAGATCTCGCTTTGAATCTTACCACATCCTGAGCACATTCAAGCATGTGCCTGCTTCAACAGATGGTGCTGAAGGAGACCCTAACAGTTGGGAGGCCAACAAACCTTGAGAAGAACATCCTGTAGGTGAATTTTTGAAATATCCCCCCAAAATATGTCCCAACTGAGATGCAGTTGTGCTAAGGGCTTTATTCTAATCTTATTTTTTGCCATTTTTTGTGTGGTTATGCTTTGTCTTGTGTATAGCTGGTATAATGTATACTGTACTATTTTACTATTATACACAACAACGTGACATCACAGCTGCCAGTTTTTTAGCTGGTATTGGCCTTCATTCGCATTGAGTTCTTCTCAAGAACCCAGGATGTCATCATGGATTGACATAGTATAGGTGTGGATCCAAGCAATGTGGCCTTTTGTAATTGACAGATGGAAATTTTGTCAATGCGCAGATTTTCTAAGTGTCATCCAGGGCTTTTTGGTATGGCCCCAGTGTGCCAACGACTGGGACCACCGCACCGATAAAGTTATCATCGCAGGATGTGAGCTGTTCCAAATAAAGCTGCCTTTTGCAATGGACTGATGGTGATTTTGTCAATGCTGATGGTCTTCCAGTGGTGCTCCAGATGTTTTAGGATTGCACCCACGGCAACTATAACTATGGGTGCTGTCTTTGCTTTCTTTTGCCATAGTCGTTCTACTTCTATTTGCAGGTCTTTATATTTTGTGATTTTCTCCAGTTGTTTCCCTTCTATTCTGCTGTCTCCAGGCATTGCAATGTCCACTATCCAGACTTTTTTGTCTTTCTTATCAACAATTGTTAAGTATTATAATTATCATTATTATTCCTTGGCAAGCTGCTGTGATTACAGGAATCTCTTCAAAATCTGTTACTATATCCATAAGTGGTCAAGACAAGAGAACTGGCTGGCTTCACACGATTTCCTAACCATTTAGGGCTTGGTTTGGTTTTGGCGTGAATCCAGCCAGCTTCTTATAGCTAGAATGAAAGTGTTGATGCACGTTAAAAAGGGGCGGGGCCTTGATTGCCTGGTTGTGGCCTCCATCTTACCTTCTTGGAACCCTTCTCTGTGGACTCATGGAGAAAATCCATCTAGGTGGTCACTAGAATCAAAAATGACTTGATGGCACATGATCCTTATGGATACCTGGACATCCCTGGAATTCAGCGTAGACATTTCTAGGCTGCATCCTGAAAGAGAAGTTGCCAGTCAGAACAGCTGGTGCTGAGCTAGACGGACAAACCATTTAAACAGGCATAAGGTGTCTTCTTATGTTTCTCTGTTATTCCAGTAGCCAGAAAGCAGCTAGACTGGGGCTCAATGTGAGAGCCTGTGCCTTCCATGCTGAAGGCCTCGTGTTGAATCCTCACCATCTCCACCCTCTAATCCAGTCAGAGGTGGCATGAAAAGTCTTTGACTGTGACTTGAATAAGGTGACTAATCAGAGGAACCAAGATGGCCAGACTGAGAAACACCCTGAACACATAGAACAAGGTCAGTGGATAACTGGTGTTTTATGGCATGCCCGTAATAATGCCCAGTTATCCCTCCTGACTATTGATATAGCAAGAATAGGTGTTTTGCTAGATTCTGGCTAAGATTACAACAGTTTCCCTAACACTGGGTGATTAGAAATTCCCCATCTCTGAAAACAGAGCTTCCATAGGTTGCCATATGACTACCAAGCATGACACTCATAAAAAATGGTTGGGAGTTTGATTAAATGGCCACTGCTACTATCTTGCCCTTTTTTTAAAAAAAACATAAATACACAAACACACACACGGACACCCCTGTCTATTGGCCATCAACACACTTCATGTAACCTATTGCCAAGGTTTGAGATGGGTGCTCTTGCCCTGGTGGTAATTTCAAAGGTACTTAAAGGGAGAGGTTGACCTCATGAAAGGGTGCTTTTAAACATAGGCTTTCCTGGTTCAAAGTACTTAAAGTTTCTTTAACAAAAGAATCCAAACTGCAGCTACCATTATCTGTTCTAAGAGGGCAGAGAAGAAGAGATATCCAGAAAGCTGACAAGCCACCTGCATATCAGCCTGACCTTATAAATAACATAATGATAAAACTCTAGTGATCTTCACTTCCCCAACAATAAGTTCTTCTTCCCTCCTTCCATTAGAAGAGAACCACCTCACTTTAATTGCTTGGGTTGTTAAGGAATAGGGGGCTCTTTACAACCTGTTCATGGCATGGAGTAGGAAAAGGCAAAGTCTGTGGAAAATAGTTCTTGATATAATGGTCGTACTACAAGTCAGATTAACTTTTACAGCTACGGATGGATGGACCAGTTTCCAAAACAATGCCATAACAACGTTAAGCTGGGAACAGTGATTGGCATCTAAATTGCTTATAAATGTGAGAGACAGATTAGCACTCATCCATCAAGAACTGTGGAGGCATCTTAGTGGGTTGAACAGCGTTTTGGATGTGGCTAAGCTACTCAAAGAAATGTGAACGTTAAAAGATTCTGCACTTCCATTCATGCTGTAGTTCAAAAACATAAAATCAGGAACATTTGCATTCAAGCACAAATCAAGCAACTTTTCATCTCTAATCTGGACATGCCTTCTTATCATAAATGGTCTGAGAGTGAAGTTGGGCAATTGCGCAATCAGGGCTCTTGCTGGAAGCTCTCAAAACAGAACCAGAACATTGAAAGGGAACATACCTTGTTAAAGAAGGGTCAAGCCACTGTCATTGCTTCAGCATGACCACCATCCTCACGCAGAGTTTTGAAACGAAGGGAAAACAAGACCTCAGGAATCTGCCTTATCAAGCGCTGGCTCAACACTTTGCCCGCCAACGTATCTTAGAAAGGATAATCTTGCCAGTCCATGTGGATTAACTGTTGTAATGCACTCCTGACAGCCTCTTTGCAAAGTACAACTTCATTTCCTACAGGGAGAATGGAAATGTTGACATCACCACGACCTTGTGAAATGCCCAGTTTAGATATCGATTGTGTCTCTTGATTAACATTCTCCAACTTGATGGCCTTATGATGTGTTGGATCAGAACTCCTATAATTCCTTACAGAGGTATTCAAGGGTATCAGAATAGAAAGGATGACCTTGAAGCACCTGAAGATTCATCCATGCTGGCTGAAAATTTTGGAAGTTATAGTACCAATGCATCTGAAGTGCACCAAGTTTGAGAGGGCTGAATTAGAACCATGTAGGACGTACATGGAAAAACATCCTTTGTGCTCCTATTTTGGATTGATGAAAATGCTACACTTCTCTTTTGATGGCTGTTAAAGTTCTGAACTTTTTTGGAAGGTGAAGGCTATCTCCACAATGCTTATCATTAATGAAAAAAAAGCTCTTACATCTTTCCAACTTGCCTGCTCCTATCTTCCATCAGTCAGCACCTTCCCTACACCATTCTGGGCTCAGATCAATGATGTTCTCTTTTCCTGAAGATCTATTTCCTTGGTGGCATACTGTTCCTGCAGCCCTAGTGAAGGGGCTGGTATGACACATCCTGAATGAGAGGCAAAAGGACATTCAGAAGGGGCTGGAATAATGGGATCACAGTTTCTCAAATAGACAATAGGTGTGAATGTTCTAGTCCTGCCATGTCAAATTCAGGAGCCAGCTTGTCTCATCACTTCTCAGCCAAATAAGAGACTATGATTTCTTGGCTTCCATTCAGGAAAGAAAAGAAAACTTGGAAGAGGATCCAATATCAGAGGACATGTTTGGTGTCTACTTATCTCTGGGATTACAAGCAAGTTATGTCAAAGCCAGGACATCATTTCATTGTCAAATGATGTCCACTTTCATAACAGATCTCTTCATTATATAACAGATCCACATTTCTGATTGTGTTGGGGCTTTGTACAGAAGTTCATAAAGGTACAATTTTCTTAACTTAAGTCTAGTCCAAAATCACTCAAAGACCAGTTTTATTCTTTGCATATTCAATGACAGCATGATTTCTGAGTGATATTAAAGAGTCAAAAACAATCTCAGTTTAAACTGGCCCTCCCAAAATCTGATACCCTCCAGACATTTGGATTTCCATCTCCAACATGGTGGTTATGTATTCAGTACCATTTTGAGCTCCTGTATAGAAAGTGAGCTGTAAAGGAGGAGGAGGAGGAGGAGGAGGAGGAGGAGGAGGAGATGCTGAGGGAGGAATACACGAAAACTATAATGATCTCTAAATTAACACAGTATAACCCCCCACCCAAATTCTCAACCTCTCTCCCCAGATAGGAACAAATGGAAGACCTCACTCCTATTCACCTGCATGATTACTTGCTCACTTTGTGTCATTGTCGCATCTACAGCAGACCTTGCCACATTCCTAAAATTGAGTTGTGCTCTCAGCATGAGTTTGCCCGTTCTTGTTGGCCATGCCTATATACTTCCTTGATGCTACTACTAGCAGTCCTACTACTAGCCTCAGTATACTGCCTTCTCCATCTCTGCTGTGGCATTGGAGATTATGCCAACCAGAGTCACCCGCTGGGGGAGATGGGGAGCATACAAATTTAATAAATAAATAAATGAAATGCCACAACAGCCCTGGTGACTAGTCTCACAACCTTAGTCATTTTCCTACCTTTTCTGCCATATTTCCCTTCCTGAAAGTCAGGATAGTCCTGGTCTAAAAAATCCAGTCTTCAACGCTCTACAGTGCTCAACTTTCCAAGTCTTCAGTACAGTGTATAACTGTAAAGAAATAGAATATAAATAATTAATTAATGCCTTAACTAATCTGTCCATTCTGGCCACAAGCCCATGTCCCCTTAACTGAGTCAAACCCAGAATGTGTGGCAACCTGTTCCAAGCCTATGTCTCGGGGTTGCTAAAAGCAGCCACAAAAATCAGATCCCATATGAGCATCTTTGCAGGAACATATCCCTACTGAAACACAATAGCAGGAGTGAGTCACAGTCTACGTAGTATATGTCTCTCTGTGTGAACTCATCGCATATAATTGCGTTAACTTGCTATTAGTCTTCTGTAATTTGTTAACTTCTGGAAAGAAGGACTTTTTCAACCTCAGCAACTTTAAGATGGGTGGACTTCCACTCCCAGAACTCCCCAGCCTGGCTGGGGAATTCTGGGAGTGGAAGTTCACCCATCTAAAGTTGCTGAGATGGAGAAACTGCTTTGAAGTCTGGCAGGTCTCTTTCATTCAGAGAAGGCAAAGTATATTGCCCCAGAATCACTCCGAGCAGAGTGTTTGAATGTATGTCTTTCATGGAAGTGAATCAGAAGGATTTGAAGCTCTGGATTCTTCCCAAATATGCTATTCACAGAAGCAGCAGACTGTAGAATTAAACAGAAAAAAGTTACAAACTTCCTAGCTTAACTATCAGGGTGGCCATTTTGTCATTACCCTATATTTGTCAAAGGTACATCTAAACTTGAAAAGGACTTCATAAATTGGTTCTAGACTCAGTTGTGTGGTAGCCCCTATATGGAATGCTCTTCCCCCAGAAATACACACAGCCTCTGCTTTGCTGAAGTGACTCAAACCAGGATTATCCCCATGAAACTGTGGCCCCAGTTGACCTATCCTAAATTTGGTTTCGTTTGTTGATGATGTTTTTTATTGGGATGTGGAAAACAGTGTTAGACATCACCCATGGTGTTCTGATGTTGGGGCAGATTATAAATACTGTTAGATAAACAATAAACCGCGTTGAACTTTAAAAAATATATTCAAAATGCAAGAGAGAGAGAGAGAGAGAGAGAGAGAGAGATGATCCGGACTTGCATAGGAATTGCCGCAAACAGCAGGAAGATAAAGTTGACCAAAAAAAGTCATCGAGAATTTGACAACCCATTCTCCACCTTCAGTCTCACTCTGACAAGGACTAAGTTTTCATAAGCTGAAGTTGGCTGGTGATGTTGAGCTATGACATATACAGTTAGGAATCAATCACTTTGATGTTTTATCTTATCTCCAGAGATACGGTTTAGTGGCCTGTTGGGTGGTGGTTGTAACACTACTTAAACAGCCTCTTCCTGAAGTGTGATAGAAGTATTTTGCTGCTTATTGTGAGAATGGAAAAGTTGACACTGTGCTTTGGGAAATGGCTGTCACGGGATCCATAACAAAATGGCTGCTGTTTGTTCATCCTTGGATTTTATGTAGGGAAACCACCAAGGGGCCATCGTTGAAAAGGAGAATTATGTCCATTGGGGATAAAACAGTTTGGGTCTTTCAGTGGTGATTGTAAAGGGTTGGAAATGGGAAAAAAGAAGTTTAAATATCAAGGCTGTGCAACGAGTCATCTCTCCTAGCTCGCAGTGAGAATAACCTGGAGGAAGAGGAGGAAGAGCCACAGTCTAGGCAAAGGTTAGATAAGAGAAATCTGAGCCCAAAGCAGGGAAGTAATTTGAGAAAGCATCTCAGAGTGACCCTCCCTAGTTCTCTTTAGGATAAAGGCAGGGAGAAGAGAGGCACATTCAGAGTTGCAAGGTTGATGTCAACCCTTTGAGGTAGACCAGATCTGAACCTTTTTATTATAGGGTTACAGTTACAGAATCTTGCAGAGCTAAAGTGGCATATAGATCAGATAGATAGATAGATAGATAGATAGATAGATAGATAGATAGATAGATAGATAGATAATGGCTGGCTGGGGAATTCTGGGAGTTGAAGTCCACACATCTTCAAGTCACCAAGGTTGAGGAACCCTGCAGTGAACCATTAGGCTATAGGGAACCATGCTTGCACAGGAACCTAAACCATGGTTAACTATGGCTTACCTGGGATAACCCGAGACATCAGATACAAATTGGGAATGGCTAGGCTTGAGGAGAATTTGGGATTTTGTTTTTCATTTCCAGGAGGAAAGAACAGGACTGTAATCTAATCTGGACAGATTGGAGGGCTGGGCTGAAATGGACAAGGTGCCTTCAAGAAGGAGAAATGTAAGGTTTTATACTTATGGAGGAAAAATATAGGGAATATTTTGCATATAAGATGGAAGAATCATGACTCAGAAACTCTACATCTAAGAAGGATTTGGTTGTGGACGTTAAGAAGCTAAACATAAACCAGTGGTATGAAACAGCTGCTAGAAGAGCTAACGCTGTCTTGGTCTGCATCAGAAGAAGACATATGAAGTCCTGATTCTTCTCTACTCTGCCGTGGTGAGACCATACCTGGAGTACTATGTATGATTCTGAGCATCCATGCCTACACGGTTATGGACAGGTTGGAGAAGGTTCAGAGAAGGGCATGAAGATGATATGAGGACTTAAGGACAGGCTGAAGGAACCAGGGATGTTCAATCACCCTGGAGAAAGAAGACAGATGGGAAACATGCTATCTGTGTCTGGGTACCTAAAAGGGGACTGTCAACCCTCAAAGTAGCGTAGACCAGGAAACCAAAGTTATGAATGCTAACACTATTTTTATTATAAGATTACAGTAACAGAAACTTGCAAGTCTGAATGCGCCTAGCCCTCCCTGCCTTTACGTTCAAGAGAACTAGGGAGGGTCAAGTCTGAGACGTTTTCTCAAACTACATTCCTGCTTTCATTTCTCTTACCTGACTGTTGTCTTGGTCGAGGCTCTTCTTCCTGTTTCTCAAGGTTATTCTCACAGCCCATTACAGGAACTAGGGAAGATGATCAAGAACTCTTTTCCATGACCATAGAAACTACGATGAGAAATTGTGGGTAAAACCTGCAGCTACCTTGATTTCATTTCAATTTAAGAAAAAAATTCCTGACCGTACCATTTGTACAACAGTGGAACAACTGACCTACGGAGATTGTGGATTCCCCATCTTTAGAGATTTCTAAGAAAAGGTTGGACAGCCATGTCTTGAGGATGGTTTCATTAGTTTTCCTGCACACGGCAAAGAGTTGAACTAATCCTTCCAGCTCCTCAGTTCTAGGATTCCTTTTTAACAGCGAGGCACCTCTTTCAGAGCTTACATTACAGGTTTCGGCCATCATGGATAGTAAGGGCTCCACAAGCCACAAGTTCAAGTTCACTCCAGACCTGCTGCATTCTGAAAAAGATGTGATAATATATTTCAAAGGAATGGAACAAGGGTTCAGAGGCAAATGAACCTCATTTCTTCTGCCCAGCGCCAGGCCTATCTGGGCATAAAGGGATGAAGCAGGAGAGATGTTCTAGCCCATTTTCAGGAAGATCAAACCTTCCTTTTTTGGATTAGTAAAATGACACCGCTGCAAATGTGTCTGAATTCTGGGAAGCAGGCTTGATCCAGGGCCTGTAATAGTATCCTTCCAGCCACATCTAAAATCAATACATTTGCGGAAGCCCCTCCATTTGTCATGCGTGTTGTTTGTTTCCTGCCATTTCTTGTCTTTTTGCCACGAGCTTGACTAACAATGCAAACCCAGCCTCACTGTATGTACACGTGTGCAGTGGCCAGATTGAATGGCGCTGGCTCCAAGGAGAGAGGCAGCTGGCACGTGATCATCATGGCCATTGAGAAAGACCATCCAGGGAGTCTTGGGGCACAATTCCCCAGAGTCG